CAGTAGCCTTCATAATAAAGGCCCTACAGATTTTATATAAACCCTCAGCACAGTGAGATGTGCCTTGGAGTTTGATATCAGGGATGAGTGAGGATACAGAAGCAGAAGCTGTCACCTGTGTCAAGATGCTCTGTAGTGTTTTCAACAGCAGTGATTTGAGAGGAGGTTTTAGAAACACAGCACCTTTGTATGACTTCCTGGGACATGAGACAAACTGGCTGCTGCTGTAAACTTGTTTTGAAAGTCTGTATTGAATCAAACACAGGATGATGCCACTTTTATTAAAAGCCACAAAATGCTCGAAGCCAATTAATACTCCGCTGCTTTACTAATGCCTCTGCTCAGAAAATTAAATGGTTTCATTTAGCAAACCCAATTTTAAAGCTTTTCTGTCAGATTTACAAGTGGGGTTCAACCCTTCTCCTAAATTTCCTGGAATCTTCAGCACAGCAAATCAAAGCGTCGGTGGCCTCGAGTATTTGGAGGTGCAAGGGAATTGTGCTTTCTTGGCATAGTTCACTCCAAATTCTCCAGGCACTTCACAAGGATTAGCTATAAATAGGAAATAAAAGGCACAAATAACTGTGCAGGTTTTTTCAGTGCACGGAGATTAACCTGTCTTGGGAATTTGTGCAGTTCAATATCCTCATAAAAGGGCTGAAAAAGGGGGAGACAGACAACAGCGATGCACCAAAACCTGCTGATGGTACAGAGCTATTCCAGGTAAGGTAAACTAGACATGACTACAAAAAAAAAAGCTGGAAAAGAATCTGAATGTCTGGGCAATCAAACAGCTGCTGAAATTCCATGTGGATAAAAGTCAAGTGCAGGCACAATGACAGGGTTTAAATTAGCCCGCGAAGGAGGCGATGGCGTCACTGCAGATGGTTCTTGGAAAACATCTGCTCCGTGCTCAGCAGAGGTCAGGAAGGCAAGTGGAATGCTAAGAATTACTGGGAAAGAGAGGGAGAATAAAAAGGAAGATGTAAGTACAATAAATCTGTGGTGCTGCTCTTGAACAGAGCGTAATTCCAGTCATCCCAGTGAAAGCAGCGGTGACGTGGAACTGGAAGGGATGTAGAAAAGGGTGAGGGAGGCTGAGCTGGGTTATGGGATGGGGAGACCAAGCCTGTGGATCTGGCTGAAGACAGGAATGAGCAGGATTAAGGTGTAAAATCAAGGGAGTGAATAAGGAATTATATGAGGAGGCCACCAAGATGATCAGAGGGATGGAGCCCCTCTCCTGTGAGGAAAGCTGAGAGAATTGGGATTGTTCAGCCTGGAGAGGAGAAGGATTTTGGGTGACCTAATTGTGGCCTTCCAGTACCTGAAGTGAGTCCACAAGAAAGGTGGAAACTTTTTACAAGGACCTGGAGTGACAGGACAAGGGGGAATGGCTTCTCACTGCCAGAGGGCAGGGTTAGATGGGATATTAGGAAGAAATTCTTGGCTGTCAGGGTGGTGAGGCTCTGGCACAGGTTGCCCAGAGAAGCTGTGGCTGCCCCTGGATCCCTGGAAGTGTCCAAGGCCAGGTTGGATTGGCCTTGGATCAACCTGGGCTAGTGGAAGGTGTCTCTGCCCATGGCAGGAATGAGATGCTTTTAAGGTCCCTTCCAGTCCAAACCATTCTACAACTCTTATCTTTGTGCCAGGGGATGTGATGACATCCTCTGGTCATCCAGTGGTTAAGCAAGAAGTTTAAAGCAAACAACAGGAAATAAACTTTCATAATCTATGATAAATTAAGAAAATCATCAAACACAACATCTTTTACATGCTAAAAAGACAGGTGGTTTAAAAAACTGGTTGTGCTGAAGTTCTCAGCGCTGGCTTGGACATGTCAAGGAGCTTGGAGGTCTTTTCCAACCTCAGTGATTGTATGAGTCTGTGTTCCTGCTCCAGCATCTCTCCCAGTGTCCCAAACTGGCCATGTCCCCTCTGCAGCTGGGTGAGCTTTGGGTTCTGGTTTGTTTGGCCCCTCACTTTCAGAACCTGACAGAGGTCTTGGGATGGATTATAAGAAGTTAAAGGATCACTGTGGTCTTGTAGCCACTTGGCAGTGCTGGGTTAACAATTTGAGTCAATGATCTTAGAGGGCTTTTCCAACATAAATGTGATTGCATGATCTCTCCTGTGACAAAACCCACAAAAATCCTTTGAATGAATGAGTTCCCCTTGAATTGCAGTGGAATATTGGAGAGAGGAAATGATCCAATAGTTCCTTAAAAATTCCTTGCACCGAGTAAAAGGGTTAATTGCAGCTCAGTAATGGGAGGTCCTGTCTGATGGCTCCGGAATTTTGAGACAGTGAGGACTAAAAATTCTTCCAGAACAGGATTATCATCAAATTATATTTATAATTAGAAAATCCTGCCTCAGTGGCAGGAGATCAACCCAGAGTGGGCTGATTTACACGTGCCAGAGCCAGCACATCGTGAACTTCACCACCTTTCCCAGGGTTGTTTTTATCTTCGGTCGACATAGTCAGGGCGAGGAAAATATTTTCCCCTTTATAATCCAAACATTCCAGGTGTTTGGCGGAGTTGTAGGAGCCTGGGGTTCCCACTGCTTCTGATAACGGGGCTGGGATCTTTTGCTAATGACCGAAGTGCAGTGTAATGAGTCGTCAAGACTTCTGCTTTACTGGGTGTTTTAACAAGAGTGCTGGCGATTGTGAAAGGGATAAATGCTGTTTATGCCCCCTTGTGGTACTTTATCGAACGGAATGGCTTCCCTAACTGACAAAATGAGGCCAGTGATGGAAAAGTCCCAGGTAAAAAAATGTGTAACAAATACTGTTTTGCACAGTGGAAAAAAAATCTCTCCCCCTCCAGCCGCGTCCTCATGACTCAGTTAAGGGGGAGAACCAATTTTGCATGGATTTGCAGCAGCAAGGAATGACTAATGCCTGTGATGACAGACTTTGTGCCATCTTTCTGGAGTGAAGATAATTTCAAAAGTGTTTTTCTTTGCTGGGAAGGTTGGAAAGTAAGTGAAATAGTGCTTTAGAGAAGCAGTTCTGTTGACACCTCTTCGAGTTCTTCGTTGCCGACGTGTTGTGATACGAAACCTTCATGTTTTTTATCTTCCTCACTGACAGGTCTGACAGGTAAATAACCTGATTCCCTTGGGACAAAGTGTATCCCAGAGATGAAAAACACTGTTTGGTGATTTTACATGGGGAAATAAGGGCAGATTCCTGTGAAATTGGGCTTGTTGCTCCCCCTCCACCCTGTGTTCAAACACAATTAATTAACTCGTCAACTTCTTCCTAAGCTGGGCTGAGAATTTAGATGTGAGGTTGGGAACTCAGGAGCTCTCCAGATAGGTCAGTCACAGATTCTGAAAACTGTATGCAGCAAAATGAATCCTCCAGACAGTGAAATGATGGGAATAAATCAGACTAAGGCTCTGCAAAGTCCAGGAGCTGCAGTCAGAGTGTGGTCAGGGCTTAGCTGTGCTGAGGCAGGATCTGGGGAACCTTGTTGTGGGAAATCTGAAGACTTTTTGGTCCCAAATTTGGGACTTTTTGATCCTGTTATTTAAGTGCCAGCTGGCATTATTTCCATTATTTCCACTGCATGTCATCTTTCTCTGTCCCCAGCTGAGGATGTAGAAGAGCATTGTAAAGAGGAAGGGAATGATTTCCTTTTCACATCCATGATGAGCACGAGAAAAACAGTGGGCTTAAATTAAAGTAGTGGGTTTAACTGGAGAAACTCTCTAAGTGGGTGGGAAATATTGGAATGGTCTCCTTTAGGAAACTGGAGGATCCCCACCTCCAAAGATCTTTCATAACCAATGTTTGTTGGGATCAAGGCGTTATCATTCATTCTGTCATGATGAAAGAAGTTGGATTTGATGGTGTAGAACCAGCTCTGTTTTGTGGTCCCATCTGATGATTTCCCTATATTTGGTTTATTTATTAGCATTATAGCACATATTTTTCTGGTAAGCCTAAATGCTGACCCTTCTTGCTTATAGTCGATCTTACTGTCAATCTGGCTGATTGCAATCAGTTCTATCTACATCCAGTACTTAAAAAAATATAGAATCATAGAATCATAGAATCATAGAATAGATTGGGTTGGAAAAGACCTCCAAGATCATCAAGTCCAGGAGCCTGACACTAATTAAAGTGCTCATTAGGTTTGTGTTGACTTCAGTGAGCACAAGTTATGTCCCCACTGAGATGAGAATTGGCTCCAAAAAGTTGGTGTTTACCATTTCCCTTAGAAAAGGACAATGCAGGAGGGAAAATGCCACAGCAATCCATCTTAAAAAGAAATTCCCTCTGTCAGAAACCTCCCAGGAGTTCCAAACTCAGTTAGGAGAGATCAGAAAGAAATTAAAGTTAAATTTAAAATCCTCACCCACATTCTGTCTTCTCTCCCTGCAAAGTGATTATTGCTCTTGGTCCATGTGTTGGCAAATCTTTCTGAAATGAGCCATAATTTGCCTTAAAACTGCCTTTCTGGTCAGGATGGAACCGGTCTTTTTGAAGAAAGGGGATGCAGCAACTCTGTGAACAAATCCCCAATGCTCTTATTTCCCAGAAGGGTTAAAATTCCACCCAGAAATTCTTGTTGGCATGAGGATATGGGGAGTGGATCACACATTTTGAAGCTGAGGCACCTGCCAGGTGAGGTTTTTGGGCACTGCAAGGCACGACCAGGATGGATCAAAGCGTGCTCTCACATTTGTTTCCCACTCTTGTTGAGAGACCCTGGCAGGGTTAATAAAGAGAATAAATGTGTGGCCACAGCAAATTAACCAAATGAGCCATTAAGAGGGGCTGGGGCCTCACCAGTGCCTGCTCTGGAGCCTGCAATGTCTCTGAGCAAAATAGCAGGAGAGCAGGGATAAAGGGCTTTCAGGGACATGCTGCAAATGGGATCCAGTAGAGATGCCTGTGGCTCCTTCTGGGTGGAAACCCGATGTCATTCATCAGCAGAGCAGCCAGCAAACCACTAATGGCTTTCCATCGTCTTTCCTGACAGGTATTGACGGAGGGAGGCTTTGGTGCCATCACCACGGAAATCCGGGAGGCTCCCGAGTTTTATTACGCCGAGGATTATCACCAGCAGTACCTCAGCAAGAATCCCGGCGGATACTGCGGCCTCGGGGGGACGGGGATTTCCTGCCCCGTCGGCCTCAAGAAGTAGCCTGTGCTTGCTCCACCACCTCCACTTTGGTTTAGGGAGTTTGGGAAAGGAGCATGGACCGTGGTAGATGCTCCAGCGCATCCACACCATCAGCGCGTCAATATTTTGGAATCGCTTGGGGAAGGTTTTCCGTGATCGGAGCAGCTTCGCGTTCATCGGCATTAAAGACCAAAGTAGAGGCAAAAAATTTTATTTAGGGAGGTTGGGAAAAGACCATCGACCCTGGTAGATGCTCCAGTGCATCCACACCATCAGAGCATAAAGATTTGGGAATCTGTTGGGGAAGTTTTCTGTAATTGGAGCAGCATCTCCTTCGTCGAGATTAAAAGCCAGAGCAGAGGCTGAAATTGCTCCCGTTGGCCAACACGGCTTCTTGCTCTAGGGAGCTCACAGGGTCTCCTTGGAATCTGGAGAGGTGGAAAGAGATTCAAACTTCTCCAAGTTCGGCTCCAAGTGTTGTTAAAAGGAGGAATTAGGAGGTGGTTGCATCCCCAACTGCTTTTGCACAGCTCATGCCTTCAGAAATGTTGATTTCCTTGGGTTGATGAATTTGCAGGTGTTTTGAGAGCTTTGACTTCTGGAGACATGGTTGGGCTCTTTAACTATCACCACTTTGTAATTTGGTGTCTTTGGGAATGATGAGTTGATAAAATCAGTAATTGTCCCACAACTCTGCTTTCTAGGATCACCTCTAGTGCCTGTTTTCTGAAATAATCTTAGTAAGAGAAAGTCCAAATTGTAAAGTGTTGCTTCTTGACAGTTCCAAAACAAAAAGAAATCAGTTTTGTTTCCTGCACTGCAATAAATTACAGAAAAAGAGAAGAAAAATGTTGTTTGTGTTGTGTTCCAAGTATATCTGGGTAGATCTAAAAAAAAAAAAATCAAATATTATAAAAGGCTGCAGTTTGCTAATTAAACACCAGGACTTTGAAATCTCTATTATTGTGCATATTAACAAGAGCATGGAGGGACAGGACAAGGGGGAATGGCTTCCCACTGCCAGAGGGTGGGATTAGGTGGAATATTGGGGAGAAAACTGATATGGGATCCTGGGGGTTCAGAGGTCAAGGAGTGCTTGGGCAACTCTGAGGAACACAGTGGGGATTGTTGGGCCTGTCCTGTGCAGGGCCAGGAGTTGGTCTTGATGATCCTTGGGGGTCCATTCCAAATCAGGCTATTCTGTCACTCCATGCTGTGGAATATCCTAGGCCAAACAGCTTCCTTAGGAGGGTTGGGAATTGGTTTGTCCCATCCATATTGCTGCTCGTAATACTTCCCAGTGGGAAGCATGAGCTTGAGCCTCTCATGTGTTCCCTAATTTTTTTGGAGGCTGTCTTGATCACTGAGTTTGAAGAACATGTGTCAATGGTGTGTCCGCTTGCAGATGTACTTTTTAGGTAAAGCTTGTAGGAGCCCACCTTGATCCATCCATTCTGGGCTCATAAAGCTCATTTTTGAGGGCCAGACAGTTGGGACCCAGAGACACAAATCCCCAGCATTTCCTCCTGAGGAGCTCTCCAGGGCACTCCTCTCCATGTCTTGGTTTGATGTTTCCAACTCATATTTTAGGCTCAGAAAGGCCCAAACCAGCTCCTGAACATCTCCTGTACCTACCCAGCACACCACATCACCCTCCAAACTTGGAGGGACTGAAAATGGGAATCAGAGAGTCAGTTTGGGCTTGTAAATCCATTGCTGAAGCCCCTCCTGCTTTACCCAAAGATGGACAGTAAATCTGGGCCAGAAAAATTAACTCCCCATCTTCCCTTGCTGCTCAGCTGATGTTGAGTTCATTCCAGTCTCAAAATCCAGAGGAAAGAAGTCCTTTTAGTCCTGGGGAAAGCTCACAGGAGCTGCCTCTGGCATGTTAGGCTCTTCTGGAGATGCCCCAAAATGTGCCCACATCCCACTGGGGATTTCTAGTTGCTGTGGTAACAGATCCTGTCCTTAATGTGTCGTGCCATGTAGTTGTTCCAGTGCTCACTGCCAAGGTAACCAACCAAATTCTGTCTAATTTCCTTGGCATGAGGTGACAGAGAAGCAAAGAGGAGAGGAAAATAAAGCATAGCTTTCATCCTGTGCATTGGTAATTGGGATTTCGGTGGGATAACTCCTGATTTGCTCCGAGGCAAAACATTTCTGAATCATTTGGGGGCTTATAAAATTCCCCTCCCTCCCTTCCCACTCTGTGTTGTTGTTTTGAAACAAGCTGGAAAATCTTGGGGGAAAGTAACTTTCTGTCCTTAATACAGATATGCTCAAGTCTGAACCTGGCTGAGGGGTTTTTTTTTAAGTCCTGTCCTGATGGAAATGATGTGTTGGTGTAGAAATCAGCCTAGATGAGTCCACTGATGCTAAAATCGGCCCACACCAAAACATTTTGCCACAACAGATTTATTTCTGGAGTTACTGTGGGGTGGAGTTTTGGCCTTGACCCCTTGCAGCTGCTGCTGAAGGGACAAAGATTATGAGAGATGTGATCAGTAAAGGTGAGATGCTTATTCAGCCTCATGGATTATTATTTTAAGCTGGATTTAGCCCTGTGAGCCATCCTTGCCCACAGGGAAGAAGGGAGTGGCTGCCTCAACATCTCTGATAGGAAACTTTTGATTGTGGCACCATTTGAAATTTGCCTTGTGACAGAGCTTCCCCTTTCTTCTGCAAACACAGAATGGTTTGGGTTGGAAGTGACCTTAAAAGTCACCGAGTTCCACCCCCTGCCATGGGCAGGGACACCTTCCACTATCACAGGTTGCTTCAAACCCCATCCAACCCGGCCTTGGACACTTCCAGGGATGGGGCAACATGGTCCTGTTTGAGTACATACAAATAAGTGCCCCAGGCACACTCTAAGTGGAGAAAAAATTAATTAAGAGTTTGATAGAATTCAGCATTTATCATAGTTGAAGATGGAAGCTGATGAAGGACCAGCATCCAAGGTCTTTAAAGGTCTTCAAAGATGGTTCAAGATCCAGAAAGGGCTAAAACACCCAGCAAACCAAACCCACTAGTTGCCACACCCTGTGAGGTCAGTCCAGGATCCAGTCAGGAACTGCCTCCCAGCTCCAGGGAGACCTGAGAGCCCCTTCCAGAGCCTAAAGGGGCTCCTGGAGAGCTGGAGAGGGACTGGGGACAAGGGCTGGAGGGAGAGGACACAGGGAATGGCTTCCCACTGCCAGAGGGCAGGGAGACATGGGATATTGGAAGGAATTCCTGCTGCCCTATCCCTGTCAGAACTAAAGGAAATCACAAACCTGGAAATCACTGAGCTTTCCCTCAGGGAACATTGATGCCCTTGGGCCTTAGGAAGGGCGGCATCCAATCGCCCTGTCAACAGGAACAGGAGATGCTGTGATGTCACACCCCGGCAGGGAGACGTGTTGGCATGGAATGCAGGCACTTCTGAGGCGTCTGCAGAGGCATCACTGCTCTGAATCTTGGGGAAGAGCGTTGTTCCAAGATGGATTGAAATGCTGCTCCTCGTCCTCTCCTGTTTAACGTCTCTGATCGGCGTCGCCGGTGCTGCCGGTGGCCCTGCAGGATATTCACATGTGGGTAAGGGAAACAGGCCTGGGATTGCTCCTTGGACTTCGTGGCCTTGTTCAGCCTGATGCTGAACCTTCCACTCCCCAAACAAGGATTTTATCCAGCCTGCTTCTGGGAAATGGTCTGTGGTCCTGCCCACCCCCAAACTGCCTGGGCAGTGCTTGGCAGAGTGTGGGGTTGGGGAGGGGACAGGGGCGTCAGGAGCTTTGGTAGAGATCATGGAGCAGGTTGAGGGAGGGGATTCTCACCCTTGTGAGTCCCCACCTGCAGAGCTGCTTCCAGCCCTGGGGAACAACAGCACAAGGACGTGGAGCTGCTGGAGACAGTCCAGAGGAGGCCATGGAGATGCTCCCAGGGCTGGAGCCCCTCTGCTCTGGAGCCAGGCTGGGAGAGCTGGGGGGCTTCACCTGGAGAAGAGAAGGCTCCAGGGAGACCTGAGAGCCCCTTCCAGTGCCTAAAGGAGCTCCAAGAGATCTGGAGAAGGACCTTGGACAAGGGATGGAGGGACAGGACACATGTCCCACATGTGTCATTTTGTCCCCAGAGTGTGGCCTCCGACCATCCTTTGAGTCCTTCCTGGAGACAGGCAAGAGGATCGGGACAGGGAGGTCTGTGCAGCCAGGGGAGTTCCCGTGGCACGTGAGCATCCAGAGCAACAGGAAGCACATCTGTGGAGGCACCATCATCAGTGCACTGTGGATTTTAACTGCTGCCCATTGCTTTGCAAAAGAGCTGTGAGTGCTCCAGGGAAGGGAGGACAGCCCAGGCACAGTGGGGTGGTAACATTCCTCCTGGTGGGTGTAGGATATGGATGTCCTTGGAGTCAAACACAATATATATGTGATTGAGCCCTTAAAATGGGAATTTTCTCCTTTATGGGGAAAACAGGCCCATTTTTGAACACAGAAATGTGTAGAAACCACAAGAGGCAGAAAGGGAATACTTTCAGGGATGGTCTGAGCAGCCTTATGGAATGCCCATGATGATGTCCTGGGGGCCCCAAGCATTTCCTGTCCATCTACAGGTGATGTGGCACCTTGTAAAAAGTGACATAGTCCATTCCAGCTTATTCTAATTCCCACATTATCTTTGCTTTCTCAAAGAAAACACCTTTACCTCATGGAGACTCTGATTTTAAACCAGTAATTTCTGCATAAATTCACCCCATGCAATGCCCAGGGGCAGAGCCCAGCCCTCTGTGAGCCCCCTCCAAAATTTGGGAGGTCCAAAGAGCTGAGACTGCTCGGTGACAAACAACCTGTGGCATCACAGCCTGGAGCAGCTGGCTGGGGACAGTGTGGTCTGAGCAGCGAGCCCAGGGCACAGTGATCCAAAAGATCCAGCCCATTCCATCTGTTTGTTGGTGACTGGATTATTTATAACCTGGTTGCACTTCCATTCTACCTCTGGAAATCATCTTTGCCTGGAAGTGAGGGTAGATTTCCATGGTATTTGTGGATGAACTACCTGTGCCATTTGCTGAGCATCTCCCTTCCCTGCTCAGGGGGAAGAGACATCGACCTTTAGGACCCAAATCCTTCATGTTTACTATATCTCCACTGCTGTTTTGTTTATAAGGCCACCAGATCTCACGGTTGTAGTGGGGGGAATCAACCTCAGTGTCCCACTGGAAGAACATAAACCGGACAGTTTGATCCTCCACGAGAACTTCAACTCCACGAGCATGGCAAATGACATAGCCCTGATCCTGCTCAGCTCTCCCATCGAGTTCAGCAAGGAGAAAATTCCCATCTGCCTGCCCTTCATGTGTGACATCCACACCTGGCAGCACTGCTGGGCTGCTGGCTGGGGGAGCACAACTGCAGGTGAGGGAGGCGCTGTCAGGAGATGGCTTTGCTAATGAAAAGTGGGTTTGAGCCATTTAAAGTGGATGTTCTCTCCCAGGAGGGGTTATCCACACTAACTTCCACTCCCTTCCCCCCCTAGTTAACACTTCCAGACCCTCACAGCTCCTACACACCCATCAGTTCTCTGTCTGGTGCAAGAACCAGTCACCTACTGACCCTCAGAGCCAAGTCTGGTGCTCTGAGCGTGTGTGTTCAAGCTGAAACCTTAGAGCCACCTTTGCTCTGCAGGAGCCCGGACTTTGGACCCCTTTTTTGGCACCCAAATTAAGACAAAGATGGTTAACAAGAATCATAGGATCACAGAATGGTTTGGGACCCTAAAACTCATCTCGTTCCAACCCCCCTGCCATGAGAAGGGACACCTTCCACTATCCCAGGTTGCTCCAAGCACCGTCCAACTTGGCCTTGGACACT